TATTATCAGTATTCATTCAGGATCAAGAACATTTGGTAAGTGTATAGCCAACTTGTTTGAAAAGGATAAATTGTTTGTGGATTACAATTCACAAGAAGGAGAGGATTATTTACAATTAGTTAAATATGCAGAGAGATATGCTTATTTTAATAGGGAAGTTTTACAAATGAAAATCGTTGAAATATTTAAAGAATTTCTAAATTTGGAAACTAAATTACTTTGTGATTCTCCACACAATATTGTTAATGTTGTTGAATTTGATGGAAAAGAATATTTGATTCATAGAAAAGGTGTTAGTTCTTTTGATGATAAATTTGTGTCTATTGGTGGTAGTATGGCAACTGCTTCATATTTAGTTATGAAAGATTCAAATGTTTTTTATAACTCAACATGCCATGGTTCAGGTAGGAAATTAAGTAGAAGAGAAGCTAGGGAGACATTGTCACATGATGTTGTTATAAATTCTATGAAAGATAAGAATATTGAATTGAGATCAAATTCTAAAAACGGTATAATAGAAGAAGCAGGTGAATGTTATAAAGATATTGATCAAGTGATTTCTCATTGTGTTAATTTAAAAAACTTAAAGAGAGTTTGTAAATTAAAACCTTGTATTGTTATAAAAGAATGAATAATAGTTTTGTTAATTTCTTAAAATTTATGATCATTAAAGAGTTATTTTAATTAAAAATTATTACAACTAAGAGATTGTTATTAATAAAAAATTAACAATTAAACTTTTTAGATTTTATTGTTTCTAAGGATATTATAACATTTAGAAAGAGAAATTAAAAACACTTTAAAAAATAAATGTAATAATAAATCAATTAATGATCTAGTGATTAATTGTGACTCAAAAATAAAACCTCAATCTGTTAATTTAAATAAAATTCATGATTTAAATAGCTTAGAAAGTAAATAGTAAGTTAATGTTAAATCAAAACTAGTTCTCTTACAATAAAATAATATATTGTAAATTAAGTATTTTTGAAGAAATTATGAATCAAATTATGATAATAATTTGAAGATAAATCTAGTTATTTTTTAAATAATTTTATTTAATAAAAATTTTTTAATTTGCTAAAAAATAGTTAATTTAAATAATTTTATGTAATAAAAATTTATTAAATTATTTTCTCTTTATTAAAGAAAAATAATACGAATTATTTACATTTTATAAAACATATTTCTATCAAAATTAATTAATAAAATTTTAACCCTAATGATGATTAATTTACCTCAGTTGTTATTTATAATTTTATTTTCTAAAATCACAAAAATAAACACACTTCATAATTCGTATGATTCAGGAATATCAAATTTAAATCAAGAACAAATAAATCTTCAACACTTAAATTTACAAAATATTCAATTAAATAATCCAAATTTAAATATGCATCAAAACATAAGTCCTAGAACTTGTAAAGAAAAATTAAAAGAATGTGCGTTTGGTTTTATTGTTGTAGCATTTGTATTATGTTTTATTACTACCATTTCATGGATAATGTTTAAATCCTTTTTTAGTTAATTAAATAATTATAAACAGCCTTTATTAAACAAAACTCTATTTTTTGTCTTTTATATCATCAGTTCATTTTATTTCTTATATTAAATAAAAATTTAAAAGTTTTAATGAATTTCTTAAAATTTTTAGAATTCTAAAATCAATTTTAATTACGTTATTTTACAAGTATAATTCAGTTATTTATTTTAACTAAAATTACTCTTTTTCAATTACATCAATATCATTTAACTATTCTAAAAAATATTTCAAATAGACTAGATAAATATTAAAAACTTTTATTTTT